CGACTTATGAAATCTAGTGTCGAAGAAATAAGGGTCTTACCTTGACTATAAGTTCGTAATACGCCTAAAAAATTTATAATATTCCAAAAACCCTGCTGTCCACACACAGAAGTATGATGTGCTAGGAAATTGATAAAAGAAATTATACCATGTTAACGAGATCAAAGCGTAGAACAATTTTGGCAATGACTTAAGGAACAAAAATCTGTAACTTGGATGATCCTAGAAGTGGATTTTGTGATTTTTATGGTTATTTACTAAGAAAAATGAAGAAAAAGATGAAGAAAATTTGAAGAAGATGATATATTTAAAGTTCCACAAATGTAAGGGACCCACCTTACCAGCCTGCTTGTGCAGTCTTGCGAAAACGCGAATATCTATTCTAAAGTCGTATGAACGAAAGGGTTGATGCGTTGGAAACTTGACTCGTAGACCTTATATTTCACAAGTAGTGGGCACCATAACTAATTATTGATTGGGTGAAAACCTCCGAGACACTTTACCCAAATTTAAGGCAAATTTTTATAAAGGAATTTGCGGTAACTTTCACCAACTTTTATTTTGCCACTTACCAAACTTCAAAATATGAGATATGATCGTTGAACGCTTAAATATCACATAACACATAATCCTTAATTTATTACCTACCCTCCTGATCTTTCAACAAATACAAGAGTCAACTTAGATGTTCCGTTAAATCCTTCCCCTGTTAGAAACATTTGTCCTCGAATGAAAAATATGATTTTTTGCGGTTATGTCCTTAAAAGATTCAAATTAATTAGGAAGAATATCCTTTGTATATGTGACTATCTAGGAACATGAAATTCAATCTTTATAAAGGAATTTGAGGTGACGTTCACCAACTTTTATTTTTCCACTTACCAAACTTCAAAATATGATATACAACTGTTGAACACTTAAATATCACATAACACACCATCTTTAATTTATTACCTACCTTGCTGATCTTTCGACAAATATATGAGTCGACTTAGATATTTCGAAAAAAGTTTGGGTGTTAAATCCTACAACCATTAGAAACATTTGTCATGCGGTTATGTGCTTAGGAGTTTCAAAATAATGAGGCATCATATCCTTTGTATATGTGACTATCTAGGAACATGAAATTCAAAAATTCTAACCTTAGGCATCTCACGTGCTCACCAAATAGCTAAGAACTATAGCTCCGCAATAACATTGCGAGGAAATACACAACAAAAACAACAACAATAAACAAATATATATATATATATATATATATAACTTATATGTCATCATCCTGGGTTATAAAACAGGTGAGGATACTTGGACTTCATGTCATCCTCAGCTCTTGTTTCTCCACAATACTTTAACCGAAGCTAGCTCTTTGGTTCTCAATTGACGGATCTTTTGATCTAATAAGGCAAATGTAATTTCCTCGTATGACAATTTTTTGTTATATTAACATCCTCAACTAGGACAACCCGAGAAGGGTCTCCTACGCACTTCTATAGCATCGATATGTGAAAAACTGGATGAACCCATTATAGCCCGAAAAGAAAATTATAGCTCATAATACACGTGTCCTATCCACTGAAGGATCTGATATGTCCCAGTGAATCTTTGAATAAGCTTGCCTTATTCACAAAATCTCATAACACCCTTCTCAAAAGATCTTTTTATGAATACCAAGTCTTCGACACAAAACTTTAAGTCCATTCGTTGCACATCTGAGTATGAATTTTGTCGGCTATGAACATTTAGAAACCTCTCCTAGATAAGCTTAACATATTCCAGTGTTTACTGATCTAAGTCTGGTCCATCAAAGTTTGACTAACCTACCTCGAACCATCGAATAGGGGACCTACATTTTTCCCAATACAAAGCCTCATAAGGTGTAATCCTAATGTTGGAATGATAAATATTATTGTTTGCGAACTCAATAAGAGGATAGTGGTCATTCCAACTTCCCTTGAAGTCTAGTAGGCACACCTATAACATTTCTTCGAGTGTCAAAATTGTGTAATCGTGATGGTTATCTATCTGAGAGTGAAAGGTTATACTAAGATTAACCTATGTCCCCAGTCCTTTTTGTAAGGACTTCCAGAAGTTAGCAGTAAATTGTGCTCCTCTATCATGGATAGTAGATATTGGGACACCGTGTATCCCAACAATATCTCTTATATATATCCCTTCATGTCTTTGTCCATAAAAGTAGCCCTAACTGGTAAGAAATGAGATGATGATGTTAGTCTATCAACAATTATTTAAATAGAGTCAAACTTGCAACGAGATCGAGGTACCATGTAATAAAATCCATAATAATTGCTTTCCATTTCCACAAAGTAATGTCTATCTTCAGAACTTGCCCAACAAGAATTTGGTGCTCACCCTTAACTTTTTGGAAGTTAGGACATTGTTCTACCAACTCAGCAACTTCCTTCTTCATCTCGTGCCACAAATAGATCTTCTTAATATCATGGTACATCTTCGTCCAATTAGGGTGAATAGAATAACAAGAATTATGAACCTTATCCATGATCCAATGTCGAAGCCGTGCAAAATTCAGAATACATAATCGACCGCTATATCTAAGGACTCCATCTCTAGATATATCAAATTTCAAAGAATGTTGATACTGAGGATTCTCTCTGAGCTGATCTAAGCTAGGATCCTTTTTTTTGTTGTGATTTTTCTTCTGCAACTATAGTTTATATGGTTGTGCTGAGTCATTACTTCACTATCTTCTGACTATAACAATGTGACTCCCAATCTAGCTAACTGATAAATCTCTCGTGCTAGATCACGTTTCTCAAAACCTAAATAGGATAAAATATTCATAGATCGTCGACAAAGGACATCGGCTACCACATTCGCCTTTCCTGGATGATATAAAATATCCACATCGTTGTCTATCAGTAACTCAAGGGATAGACGTTGTCACATATTTAACTCCTTATGTAGAAATATATATTGAAGGATTTTATGATCTGTGAAGATGTCAACATGACCGCCATACAAATAATGTCACAAAAGTTTTAACACATGCACAACTTCAGCCAACTCTAAATCATGGGTTGGATAATTTTCTCATGATTTCTCAAATGCATTAAAGCATATGTGATAAACTTACCTTGTCCCATTAGAACACATCCCAACCCGATACTAGAGCAACAAAGTACACTGTATAGCCTTCAAAACGCTCTGGAAATTCTAGAACTTGTGATGACATCAAGCTTTCCTTGAGCTCCTTGAAGTTATGCTCGCAAGCCTCAATCCTCTTGAACTTAGTAACCTTTTAAGGACAACTTCATAAATGGTTCTGAAAGTGAAGAAACCCCCTCTAAAAAGCTTATGTAGTACCTAACTAACCTAAGAAACTATGAACCTCTGTCGGTGTCATTGGTCTTCGCCATGTCTTTACAGCTTTAAACTTTTGTGTATCAACTGCAATGCATGCATCTGGTACAATTATGCCTAATAAAGCAACAAAGTCCAACAAAAACTCACACCTAGAAAACTTTGCATAAAGTTCTCGGTCTTGAAGAACCTGATCATTGATAAATAAACTCACAAACAAGTCTAGTAATATGCTAGTCATTAGGTCCATGAACACTTCTTGGGAATTATTTAATCCAAAAGACATTACCAAGAACTAAAATTGTCCATATTTGGTTCCAAAAGAAGTCTCTGGAACATCTTTTTCTTGAATATGTATCTTGTGCTACCTTGATGTTAAATCAATCTTTGAGAAACAGTCAACACCTTGTAAGTGATGAAACAAGTAATCGATCCTCTAAAGGGGATACTTATTCTTTATAGTCTCCTTATTCAGTTTTTTATAATCGATACACATTCTTAGAAGGTAATCTTTCTTCCTCACGAATAACACTCTGCACCCCTTGGTTAAACACTAGGACTGATAAAGACTCTATCCAAAAAGTATTTCAGTTGATATTTCAACTCCTTTAGCTCAGCATGATCCATTCTGTATTAAAGGATATTTATGGGATGTGTACCTCGCAGCATATCGATAGCAAAATCTCGTTTTGGAGGGATACTAGGGAGCTTGTTTGGAAATACATCTAGAAACTCATTAACTACTAAAATATACTTAAAAGCTAATGATACTTAGTCTATATAATGAATGTGAACAAAAAGATAAATACAACCCTTAATAATCATACTCCTTGTCTTAAGATAGGAAATAAACCTACCTTTAAGCAATGTTGTATCACATTTCAATTCTCAAACTACCTTTCTTGGGAAGTGGAATCTAACAATCTTTCTCAAGCACCGAACATTAGCATAAGAAGACGCTAACAAGTCCATACCCATCTCATGTCAAAATCGACTAGCTCTAGCTCTACGAGATATACAGAGGTATTAAGGTCAATAATTTCTATCGTATAACCTCGATAGACCCTCCTCACAACAATAAACTCACCAATTAGTGTATATACAATAAATGGTTGATCTAATGATTTTGCTACTATACATAACTTCCCCGCTATAAATAGAGAAGCATAAGATAGAGTAAATCTAGATTCTATCAAAGCATAAAACAATGGAATCCAACAATCAATGTAGTTGTCACAGCATCTCGTGATGACTCTAAGTCCGGTTGGTTGGCTAATGAATATGTACGATTATGTCCACTACCAGAAGAAGATGATCCCTCTTTACCTCTGTCTCTACCTCTACCTGCTAAAGTCTAGGATTCGCTCCTTATAAACTACGCTGATGAGGAGGAACCTACTACTGACCTGGTCGACTTACCTATACAACCCTGAACTATAGTTGGGTAGTTCCTCCACCCATGCCCCTACTTTCAACAAAAATAAAAACATGTGGAGCCCTGCCTACACTACCCAAAATGCATCCTACCGCATGTAGCGCAACTCGGTGGTGTTATCAGATATACCGTGGTTTCACGGTATTTTAAATACTTTTTCCTTAAGTTTAGTTTTTCCAAAAACCTTTTTGTAATAATTTTTATGTAAGTTTCTCTTTATTTGCAGGAAATCTGTCTAAAATATGAATGCGGAGGTTTTTTAGCAAGAAATACAGAAAAAACCACATACGGAGCTTGTGACGGTTCGTCGTGGTCATGACGGTCCATAGGTGGCAGCGTAGTGCAGCTGCTGAAGGAAGATGGGGAATTTTTACCAAGTGTGGAGTTACGAAGTGCGTGATGGACCTTCGTAGCCATGATGGTCCATCCTGCTGGTTCGTCATGATGATCAGAGAAGTAGTCCCAGTACTAGGAGTTCAAGTGTTTTGGAACGGAGACCCTCGACGGACCGTTTTGCCTATGACGATCCATCATACCTGTCGTCGAGGGTAATGAAGAGAGTAGAAGAAGAAATTGCACAAGTATGGGACGAGGGAATCCATGACGGCCCCTCGTGACTACGACGATCCGTCGACCCAGCCGCGTTTTGACAAATTTCCAGCAAATAGAGTCCTTATTTAGTTAGGTTTTTATTTTTTTATAAATAGTTCGAAAAACCTCATTTTTGGGGTTAGACTCTTGGTTATTTGAGCTTCTTTTGTGGATTAGACTTGGTGATTAGTATTACACTTTTGGAGAAGCTTTAGTCTTCAATTAACTGCAGTAATTGCTTGTTGGTGATTTTTGTTGATTAATCAAGTAAATTTTTGGATTTTATTCTTTCTCATTGAAGTAAGTGCATGAATTCTTATATTACATATTTGAATATTGTGATTATGACTATAGGTAACTAAACTCTATAACTAGGGTTGTGGGAACCATACGCGAATAATGAGGTAAAATCTAACTAAAATAATAATTCTAGAATAGTGTGTTGCATGTATAGATAATTCATTCCCTTAGAAGTCTTTTTAACAGATGACCAACGTTAGAACTCGCGCGAATGCTACTTGCCGGACCAAGGAGATAGATAATAGGAAAAGAATTGTCAACATAGATTTAGTGTATACTATATAATAGGCTAGTATTGATTGGTACGAGGTAATAACTTAGTCAAAAATCAAATACGATGCTTAATATGAGGTAAAGGTAAGGGTTAGTATAGCAACACATGTAGCCGGAACAAGGTGCGGAGTGAAATTTTCTAGATGCCGGACCAAAGATTTAGAAATACATAACTTATAACTTTGCATGCAAGATACTAGGAAAGAATTGTTATTGTTAGAATTATCAAGTTATGAACCTGTGGGGAACACGTAAACCCTAGTTACTTTGATTAATTGATTAAACTCCAACATTTGAAGCTATTAGTTGTCTTCTTTAATTTAGCTAGGTATTTTCATTCATTTAGAAGTAAAAAAACCCCCTTTTTGTTGTCTTTTGTTTCCAAGGAAATAATTGACTAAATAGTAGTAATAATAGATTGAAGTTAAGTCTGAACTATTTTCCTTGTGGGAACGATCCAACCTCATTAGTTGGGTTCTTTACTTGATACGACCGCTTTACTTCTTATTTGAGAAATAAGTTTGAGCGTATCAAATATTGGCGCCGCTGCCGGGGAAAGTAGCATTTAGATTAACTTAAACTTATTACTATAATTTAGTCGATATTTTCTTAATTGTACTTTTTTTATTGTTTTTCATTATTGCAGAACAAACTTCCTTATATGCCGAATACACTAAGAGGAAGAGAACCCTTGTTTCTCTACGATCACGAATTATAGCAAACACTACGTAACATGAATCGAAACATGGAAATTAATGAGTATGATCCAAACCAGAACATCCTAGCTCCGGTTGATGTTAATGGTCAGTTTTTACGCGATGCTCAGGGTGAAAACCAACAGATTGAACAAAATCCCACTCCACGGCTCCAAGAATACTACAGAGGCTATGACAATATAGCAGACTCCGATGGGCCACTTGTCTTGCCCTCTTTACCCCCAGGCCACACCTTTGTGGTAACTAGTAGCCTGATGCAAATGCTCACTGCCAGAGGTTTTGTTTTCAAGGCTACTTTCTGAGGATCCACATGCCCATATAGCTAAGGTAAAGGCATTGTGTAAAAGTTGTGTAGGGAGGCCTCACTTGGAGTTGGATGTAATAGGGGTAAGAGTGTTTCCTCTGTCACTCACGGGAGAGGCTGCTATTTGGTTCACTGAGCTCCCTTACAACTCAATTTTCACTTGGAACCAACTAAGGGACGTTTTCTTAGCACGCTACTTCCCGGTCTCCAAGAAACTAAACTACAAAGAAAGAGTAAACAACTTTGTGGCACTACCAGGAGAGTTAGTTAGTAGTTCGTGGGGTAGATTCACTTTATTTTTTAGAAGCGTCCCAAATCACCGCAGAGATGATGAGTCACTGAAGGAATACTTCTATCGGGGACAGGATGATAATAATAAAGTGGTGTTGGATACTATAGCGGGTGGTTCTTATGGGGAGTGTCCTTATGCTGAGATTGCTGAAAAGTTAGAGATTCGCGAAGAGATGGCTCAGATGAGAACTGAGCTTGGGTTGGTATTAAAACATGTCTTTGGGGGTGCAGTAAAGATAAATCTTGTCAACTACTTGTCGAAACCACCACCACAAAATGATGAGTGCTATTATGAGGAGGATTCCTATGCGGAAAATGAGCAGACGGGGGGTTTCCGACCGAGTGCCCAAGGCTCTAATAAGGAGAATTGGCGGCAAGGTCAAGGGAACCAAGGTTGGATCTATGGTAACTATAACCGTGAGTGTCATTATGTCCAAGATGGAAACTACAAACGCGACAACAACTTCAACAGGGGTATCTATGGTAATAGAAATTATAGGAATGGGCCCTATGTTCCTCCTCAAAATCGTGAAGTTACTCCTAGGGATGGTGGAGGTAGTATGGCGCGAGTTGAGGAAATGTTGCATAAAATGAAGAGGAGGTTTGATGCTAGTGATGAGCACAATAAAGAATTGAGGAATGATTTAGTGGGTATTCTGTAAAAATTCGATACACATGCAATATCGATTAAGCAACTTGAATTACAATTGGCCCAATTATCTGCGACTGTGAACACACGGCAACGGGCACTCTTCCTAGCAACACTGTCCAAAATCTAAAAAATAATGGACATTGTATGACAATCACTACTCGCGGTGGTAAGCAAACCATTGACCCACCTATGCCGTCTAATGAGAAAAAGGTGACAAATGATACTGATGAAGTGGTAGAGGTTAATGGTGAAGTAGAAGATAACACTGGAAAAGATGCTGAAGTGCCTAAAAAGGTAACTCCCATGCCTAGGCCACCACCCCCATTTCCTCAAAGATTAGTGAAAAAGACCGAGGATGGTAAATATCGGCGCTTTATAACAATGCTGAAGCAACTTTCTATCAATGTCCCTTTGGTAGAATCTTTAGAGCAAATGCCCGGTTGCACCAAGTTTATGAAAGATTTGGTTACAAAAAAAAGATCGGTCACTTTTGAGGATGATGATAGAATGCAGCATTGTAGTGCTATTGCTACAAGATCTCTCGTACAAAAGAAAGAAGATCCGGGTGCATTCACTATTCCTTGTACAATCAGGCTATTACATTTTGCGAAAGCATTATGTGATATGGGGGCAAGCATAAATCTCATGCCCATCTCGATTTACAAATAGTAGGGTTTGGGTGATCCAAAGCCCATTGCGATGCGGCTACTAATGGCTGATCAAACAGTGAAAAGGCCTATAGGGATAATCCACGATGTTCTAGTAAAAGTAGAATCGTTCACATTTCCGGTAGATTTTGTTATTCTTGATTGTGTATTTGATTTTGAAGTGCCCATTATTCTTGGGAGGCCATTCCTTGATATGGGAAGAGCCTTAATAGATATGGAAAAGGGGCAGATGAAATTTCGGTTGAATAATGAGGAAGTTACCTTTAACATTTGTAGGTCCATGAGGCAGAGTGGTGAGATCCAATCGGTATGTTGTATATCCTACAACATTTGTGAGATACATCTGAGACACAAATAGAAGAACGTCTAGGCGTAGAAGCATTAGCGGCAGTGATAATGAAATTTGATAACGATTGCATTGAAGAGTATGAGTCATTAGTCGCGGCTCTTGATCGAGGTGATGTTCGATTTAAACCAAAGAAATATGAGTTAGATATGAAGAATCACGAGTCCCCACCCGCAAAACCATCAATAGAGGAGGCTCCAAAGTTAGAACTAAAAGCTCTCCCACCTCATCTCAGGAATGAATTCTTAGGAAATGGTGACACTTTGCCGGTAATCATTGCATCAGACCTGAATGAACAAAAAGTTGAGAGTTTTGTGAAACTACTAAAAAGGTTCGAAAGAGCTATCGGGTGGACTATTGCAGACATTATTAGGATCCCTCCTGGTATTTTCTATCATAAAATCCAACTCATGCCTGATCATTAGCCAAGTATTGAGAACTAGAGATGCTTAAATCCACCTATGCAAGATGTTGCAAAGAAGGAAATCATTAAGTGGTTGGATGCCGGAGTAATTTATCCGATTGCCAATAGTAGTTGTGTATGCCCTGTTCAGCGTGTACCTAAGAAAGGGGGAATGACTGCGGTCCCCAATAATAAAAATGATCCTGTTCCAATGAGACCGGTTACTGGATGGAGGGTGTGTATGGATTGCCGCAAACTAAATGCATGGATTAAAAAAGACCACTTTCCGATGCCTTTCATGGATCAGATGTTGGATAGACTTGCCGGAAAAGGGTGGTACTATTTTCTTGATGGATATTCAGGGTATAATCAGATTTATATTGCGCCAAAAGATCAACAGAAAACCACTTTTACTTGTCCATACGGGATCTTTTTTGTTCAAAAGAATGTCCTTTGGGTTGTGCAATGCACCCGCCACATTTTAGGGATGTATGATGTCGATATTTTCCGACATGGTGGAAGATACTACAGAAGTTTTTATGGATGATTTTGCTGTGGTTGGTGATTCATTCGAGCGGTGTTTGAAGAATTTATTTGAGGTCCTTAAGAGATGTGAAGACTGCAATTTAGTACTAAATTGGGAAAAATGCCATTTCATGGTGAAAGAAGGTATTGTTTTGGGTCATCGCATTTCAGAAAAGGGCATAGAGCTTGATCGAGGTAATAGAAAGACGTCCCCCACCTATCTCCGTGATAGGTGTGAGAAGCTTTCTTGGGCATGCAGGTTTTTACCAGAGATTCATCAAAGACTTTTCAAAGATTGAACATCCATTGTGCAAACTGCTAGAGAAATATTGTAAATTTTGTTTTGATGAATCCTGTCTTAAAGCATTCGACGAGCTAAAAGAAAAATTGGTATATGCACCTATCATTATTTCTCCTGATTGGAACAGTCCATTTGAGGTGATGTGCGATGCTTCTGGGGTTGCTTTTGGTGTATTATTGGGAAAAAGAAAGAACAAAATCCTTCACCCCATTTACTAAGCTAGTAAAGCCCTAAATGAAGCTCAGAAGAACTACACAGTGACTGAGCAAGAACTCCTTGCAGTAGTCTTTGCTTTTGAAAAATTTCTCTCCTATTTGCTAGGTACTAGAG